ACATCAAAGTGAAGAAAGTCGAGAGGGTGGAGGGGGGGGGGAAGGTGGGGATGGAACATCAAAGTGAGAAAAAGTGGGGAGGGGTGGGGGGGAACAGATGAGTGATTTACAAATGTAAAAGAGAGAGACAGACACGAAGGAAGATAAAAAGATGAGATCAGCTCTATGCAAATGGTCGAATATAGCACACAGTTGGGTCAGCTTAATTTGAAATTAGAAGTCAACTACCAGTAAATAGACTTTTCACCGAATGAGTATACGTTGTCCAGGGTGCACCACGTGGAGGTAAGACTATCGCACACGCCTCTTTTAAGTAATTAGTGTTTTAGATTCTTTCTTATGAGGTTTGAGTGGGCAGTAACTAAGAAATGACATCTATATGGCTAAGTATTTGAAAATACAACTATGTCCGTAATGAATTACTAGTTTTAAATCACCATCAGCACCAATAATTTCTTCTCCTTATTATTTTACTCTTCCAATCTATTCCATTATGGGAAAGAGGGAATAAAATTACTCAATATGTTTCCTAAAACTCCCTTAGTAACCGTGAAGCAATGGATGAAGTGGCCATCTCAATATTTCCAAATTAATGCTTTAATAGTGGGAAAATTATGATGAAACTAGTAGTCAAGGTATGTAAAACGTCACGGATGTTGACATCAACACAGCGAATCCATCTATAGAACTGCAAAACACTATCAAGGCTGGCCAGTGGTGGGGGTTGGTCTCAAGAGCCAGAACAATTTGGAAAGTGCATTTTGCTACAAGTTCAATTGCGTCTCGTATACAAAGACCACCCATCCACCCAATCGGCGATTCATTTTCATTCATCTTTCCATTAGTTGTATCCGAAACTAAGTCTTCTTTGCAGCAACTTCCCCACACACGGAACTTTCTCTTCTCTCTCTACTTTGGGTTTAGCCTACCTACATTTTGTGGAAACTTTTTCTAGTCGACTGTGTAATGAACTCTAGGTAGACTTCTATTTGAATTTCTAAGTTGCAGTCAAAGGCTTATTTGTATTGTACCCTCTCCGATCCAAATATGGCTTTCTGAACTGAAGAGGTCAGGAAAGTGCAACTCACAAAACATGTTAGATGTGACTTGCTTTAACAGAGATCAATTTGAATAGTGGTTTCTATAGTTGGCGTCAGATATGACATTGTGCAACTTTTGTTTTTCGATGATCCATGTGCTCCATTGAGTAAATTAAAGAATTTGCGTTTTCCAAATTTACCATCTTTTCAACTCTAATGTTAACATTGTCACGGAGTCATGGGCAATAGAAGTATGCTTTAAATAGAACACACAACCGATTGGGGTGCAAAGTTCACAAATGAGATACATTTAATTGCCCCGTTCATGAAAGATCACTTTATGTGTTTTCAAACAATAGTATATAGTTTCTCTCAAGGCAGTGTTTTGACCGTGTTTTCTATTTATTTTATATCAAATCCGAGTTGACATCAACTTCTAGAATCAACCTCCTAACTTTAAGCTATTCTTACTCACATCTATTTTCTTCTATTTCGACATTTCTTTTAAAGATAAAAATATTTAGAAATAGTAGCATTTTTGGAACCTCAATGTCATCAGGATTTATAAACCTTGAGAGAATTCTCTCATGATATCCCTCAGCAACATAAGAAAGGCCGAGCTTTAATGGAATCTGAATCTGATGGAAATTTAGAATGGTCTAGAAAGATCGGCGAATCCAAGTTGTCCTTGGTTTCCTAATCAAGGTCGAATTGCTTGAATCATCGACTTAATTATTTTAAAACTGCTTAAATTTAGTATCTAAGGCTTATGGTCATGTTGCTTTTCTGTGATGGTCGGACTTGATTATTAAATTAGTTTTAAATGTTGAGAATGTGTGATCTATCATTGTACATTTCAACTAATGACAGATAAACCAGATTTTTCAGTCAAATCAATTATGCAAAAGCATGAGATCTGCAGTTGGGTGTTAGAAGTATTTCACTTTCGGTATGACAGGCTTGCACATATATCCTACTTGGTCTTAGCTATTTCATTGATTTTCACATTTGTATACCATCATCCATCTGAATTTGCCGTCCATTCAGACAAACAACATTCAATTAATATATTATTTTTGCCTGGATATCTATTTGCCAAATACTGAATTCAAGGGTTTATAATCCTGAAACCGCACTGAAAGAAATTGCAAAAGAAATGGGAAAATATTAGCCAACTAANTCGACTTAGAGATTGCCGATTTCCATTCAGTGAAAGGAATCATTTCAGCTGGAGCCGGTCTGATTTTGCCCTCAATCATCCACGACGATATCTCGTTAAGCATCTCCATGCGTTTTTCCATAGTCATAGAAACATTTTCACGCCCAGGAAGCCAAAACCCACGTATGTGAATGTCATTAAAGATGAGATAGTTGACGTGAACTGGAATTGGCTTGCCCAGCATTCCTCCGTAGTTCACAAACGTTCCAGATGGTTTAAGGTGGTCCAAAATCGTTAAAGCGGCCTCTCCACCTAGACAATCGTATCCAATACATATTGGACCGTATTTTGATAGGTCCTTCATTCCTTTCAATTCCTCTTCTGTTACTGCCAGGGTGGCGCCGAATTCCATCAGAGCTCGACGTGTAGCTTCTGTCTTTTCTGGGGTATCCCTTGCCCTAAATAGATTAACTAAAGACAGCATAGTTATACGAGTTTCAACAAGTTACTTGAGTTCACACCCATAAGCTTGCACATCTGCATTAGATAAATAGCAGAAGTACTAGTCGCCCCATTCTGTATCACACAATTTCCAGGTTTTAACTCGACGAATTTCTTCAAAAGTAAATACGCCGTGCATGGATTCACGTCGATTACACAGGCTTGTTCTAAGCTGAGTTTAGGATTCAAACGAATCAACTCCGATTCGTTACAAATTCCAAGATTACGCCATGTTCCTATTCCATATTCAACAGGAATCACTAGGTCTCCGGGCTTTAACTTTGTAACACCGGGTCCACATTCTAAGACCTTTGAAATTAGTTTGACAAAAATATCTTACATATCCAGCACCTTCATTTCCACCAATATCGGGAAAATTATGCTTCACTGGATATAACCCTTCTATAACCATTATGTCGGAAGGATTGATTGGAGATGCACGAAAATTAACCAAAACTTCATTTTCCTTCAATGAATCGAGTTTCATACTTTGTTCTTTGAGTACTTCAAGGGGTTCCCCAAGTTTGTCATAAACAATCTGCCATGCGGAAAATTCTTTTGAACTCATTTTTCTAGAATCTAACGCAAATCAGTAAAGACAGCTGATTAAATACCGACAAAATGACCTAATAACACATTTGCATGTGCAAACGCCCTTCAAAGGAATATCACTGACTGTGTAAAACAATTCCGTTCATAATATTGCCTAAGCATAATCTAAAATGATCATAATTATATTAAAATGAACACATTTACTTTTTGATTTGTATGAATTAATTTTCTCTCAACCGCTAAGAAGTCAACATTATTGGCATAAATGCACTTCAATTAATTTTGGGTGAACTATTTCATTCTACTTATTTTTATTCTGGAATATTGAATGCTCATGGCTTTTTTTCTATCACTTACTATAAGGTATCTAAATGAATATCTTTCAATAATGACACGGTCTAATTCAGAGGAGGAGTGATTAACAGATGTGCACATTTAAAGCTAATTATTAAGCATCAAATAAGAGGTAGAAGGATTTACGTTGATTACTGATGCTTGTGCCATACTGATTTTATGGTTCAAGGAAGAAAATCGGATTCATTAAGTAGGGTCATATTGCGCCATGTCCCTAAGCCAGGTTTGGCTGGAATTATTAAATCTCCTGGTTTTAACTTTGAGACACCAGGGCCACATTCTAAAACCTTGAAAATGTTTCCTTCTTATTTAGCTTACATAACCAGCTCCCTCATTACCACCGACTCCAGGAAGAGTTGGCTTTACTGGATATATTCCTTGAACTGCATCTATATCGGATGGATTTATAGGAGATGCACGAAAGTTGACCAACACCTCCTTCTCTTTTGGAGAATCAAGACCAACATCCTGCTTATAAAGCACATCAAGAGGTTCCCCATGATTATCAAATGTAAGTTGCCACGAAGAAATTCCTCGAGTTAGCACATTAGCATTAGATAAGCGAAGGAAATTGCGCGAAGCCAACATACGGACAAGTACAAATAACCAGATTTTATCAAAATAGCCCGTGTTGCACAAGGGCAGTAAAGGCATAAACAAACGAATTTTTCAATAGAACATATATGAATGATAGTTAATATTTAAGCTAGAAGAATCACTTTGTTTCATTTGGAAAATATGCGCCTATATACACTTCTTGAAAAATTAATTTATTGGTAAATAAATAACTTGATCTGAATTTTATCGCAAATAAAGTGTAAATCCAAAGTAAATATTTTACCACATGAAATACTACCAAAAATGTAATGAATTTCAAATTTAAGGGGGCGAATGTCACAGAGGAAAGAAGTTTATATAAATTCCTTCCACTTGGATTTGTGATCAATTTCTATTAATATTTGTGTCCCAACTTGAAATTAAAATGGAGGGATTAGATATCATAGTGCCTAAATTTTCTTGACAATGACCAATATCAGCACCATGATATACATCCTTAAATTATACTGTTTCTTTTTTCATAAGAATAATATCTCGTCTTATTTAAGCACGAGTTTTCCTAAGATGTGCTCGTCTCCTTTGTTAAATATACAAAATGTATATATTTCAAATGGCAGGCCTTATGATATTTATCATTAGCCACATATTTGACTTCGGCTTTTACAAGGGGTGGGGGGAGAGGAACATATATAGCAGTTCATAAGCTGTCTTCTTGCTTCCCATTATCTCTGCGTTTTCGTCGTTTTCTGTAGGGCTGTACAATTAATCAGGTGGGACTTCTCCATTTCCTCCTGTTGATTACATAGGAGGCATGTGGGTTGGGTGTATACTCCTAATCTGTGAAGTTGTTTTGCCAAGCAATCGTGTCAAGGTACGTAGTCTAATCTCAGCAACGGCTTCGATTCTTGGTGGAGAGTGTCACTTTCCAATGTTTCTCCTTTGTTCGAGCTTCCAGTTCGTTGTAGATTGTGGTCTTGAATTCTCTCCTGATTAAAGGGTCTTCATCGTGTGGAAAGACACCGGCCACCGGTCTATGCCTTGCAAAATTGTTGTCCTCTTCATAGGAAGTATGTCATCAAGCTCCTTACCTTTAATGCCACAGTATCCAGGGGTCCATTATAGTACCACTCTTTTGTTTTTTTCTATCAGTAACTGATAAATTTTTATATTCGTACATTTCGGCTGTTTTGGGTGGCTCTCTGTTTCCAATAGAGTCTATTGCTGACTGTGAGTCCGAAAGTATCACCGCTTTGGTGAATTTCGTATCCAGGCAACATAATTGGCATAGTGCTATCCTAATGGCCTCTATTTCTCCTTCGAAAGTGGATCTATTGTATCCCACTGCTGCGTAGAACAAGAAGAGTTCAGAGTAGACACCTGCACCAACGTTTGCTTGGTTCTCTATGTATGACCCATCAGTGAATACTTGGAGCCATTGATCTGCAGGATAGTTGACATTGATTGTCTCAAGGGCCAGTGAGCCTTTCCATGTATGACCCATCAGTGAAGACTTGGATCCATTGATCTGTTTGACATTGATTGTCTTGGCCTGTGAGCGCATTTGCTCTGGAGGGGTGGTTGATTTCACGAGCGTTTTTCTGGAGAGGTGTTTGCTTTCCTAAAGTGGTTAAGCAGTTGGGTGCCACACTCTACATCAGAGACTGCTAATGGGTTCACGTGAAGAGAGACTTTTGGGTTCGTCATCGATTTGTAATGCTTTCTTCAGTTCTATGGCTTTCATCATCGATTTGTAATGCTTTCTTCAGTTCTATGGCTTTCTTATTGATGCTTTCTTCAGTTCTATGGCTTTCTGTATTAGACCAGATTGCTTTTTAAGGTGTCTTGGTCTATTTTCGTAGGTGCTGAAAAATCGATCTATGGTAATGCGCAGTAGGTTCTCATACAGGATCAAGGCCTTCTCTTTGATAAGTGAACTTATTGTGGTGCTCCCTGTAACCACGAGCATTGCATCAATGAGTGTTGATTTTACCCCTCCAGTAATTATTCTTAACGCCTGGTTGTGTGCCTTCTCAATTCTTTTGAGAGTCATCCCTATGACTGCAATGAGTGGCTCACAGTAATATAACATTATTGATTGAACAAACATTATGTAAGTGGTGTTTAGAGTTGTACGAGCACAGCCATATATGCTACCAGCGGGACCCTTCAGTACGTTAGGTCTATTGGACACTCGATCTGCAACTGTAGCAATGTGGCTTTTCTATGTTAGTTTTGTGTCAAACGTCATTCTGCGATAAGTGGACTCATTGTTTTTTATGGTAGTATCCTTGTTCCTTAACTGAGGGTTTGTGCTGTGGTAAGCCAATGAAAATGTTTGGAATACGGTTTTCGTTTTGTTGATAACAATTCCATTGTTGTCGCACCAGTTGGCTAGTAGTTTTTGTTCACAATTTAGGGCACTTTTCGTCCTCTACTGAGCGTTTTCCTTAGGGACGGAATACCTTAGAACAAGATCATCTGCATAAAGTAAGCACTTGATGCCTGTGAATGTCTGTACCAGTTCAGCTTTATAACATTGATGGAGACGGTGAAAAGAGTGCAACTTGTGACAGCTCCCTGTGGAAGGCCAGGCAAAAGATTGGATTTTGATAGAGCATTTCCGTATCTGAGAGATCGGATTTTGATAGAGCATTTCCATATCTGACTTAACTAGATTTGGACAGGGAATTTGCATATCTGACTTTGCATGATCTTTGTTCAATGAATGCTTTTGCCCAGTTCAGCATGCTATGCTTTATACCAATCTTGGCCAATTTAGAATTAGTTTCTCTTTCCATACTAAGTCATATGCTGATTTGAAATCGACGAATACAGCGGTAAGAGTATTTCTTACATCATGGGCATTGATACTAAGTCATATGCTGATTTGAAATCGACGAATACAGCGGTAAGAGTATTTCTTACATCACATGCATCTTTAGTATGTTAGGAGAAAGTGGCTACTTGTTGATTCGTTGATCTTTGTGGCCTATAACGCGCTTGTTAGTTTCCAAGACTACTGTTGGTCTCAAGGAACGAGGTTAGACTCCCGTTAAACATTCTTTCCATAAGTTTAGCCAGCACGCTTGTGAGGGAGATAGGCCTACAGTTGTCAAAGTTGCTAGGGTCTTTGCCTTTTTTAGTATTGGTATTACTATGGCAACTTTCCATTGGTTAGGTACGAGACTGGTCTCCCAGATTTTATTGAAATGGATCAACATGGTTTCCTTGGCTTTTGGTCCCATTCTAATTAGAAATTCGAGATGAATACCGTCTTCGCCAGGAGACTTCTTGAACTTTAGCTGTTTTATCGCAGCATTAAGTTCGCAAGGTCTGAATGGTTCAGTAAGTACGTTATTTGTTGATGCTATGTCTTCCCTAATTTCACCAAACTGTTTTACTTGTACCTTTAAATCTCTTGAAGATTTTCTGACAAAAGGGTTTTTCTTTTGCTTGTGGGAATAGAACCTCGCAAAGTATTTAGCTATTTCGGAGTCGGCGGTAGGCAGTTTGTTTTTAAGCGTATTGGCTCTTTCTTGGGTCTTTCTCTGTCGTTTTGGAGGTTACCCAGGAATTTGAATGTGCGTTGGCTATCAATTTGGTAGTTGATAGTTGAGATGAACTTTTCGAAGGAAGTCCGTTTAGCTTGTAAGATGACTTGCCTTAGGACAGCTGATTTTGTTTAGCTTGTAAGATGGCTTGCCTTAGGACAGCTGACTGCTGTCTGATCAGCAGTGTTGCGAAGGGCGTCCCGCTTTCTTGATCAGCATTGTTGCGAAGGACGTCCCGCTTTCTTTTCAGGTTCCCTAGGTGTTTAGACCAAAACACTCGATAGTGTTTAGTTTTGCATGGGAATAGTTTTCTTAGCACATCTGATCATAATATTCGTGATATGGGAATAGTTTTCTTTGCACATTTGATTATAATATTCGTGATTTCATTGGAAAGTTTGTCAGGATGTTGGTTGAAGTTGATGGGACTTGTGTGAAGATCGTTCTCAAAAAGGTTTGTGAATCTAGACCAGTCGGACTTCTTGAAGTTATATGATAGTTTGGTTTTCATTTTCGGTGTCATGCTTTTGCTGCCGATGGCAATACTAGCAATGACTGGTTTGTGACCAGAACCAGGATCGTCAATTATTTTGCGGTGTGTATGCTCACTGATGTCGCTTGAAGCCAAGAGTAAATCAGGAGTTGTTCTGGTTCCATTGTAGTGCAGATATTTAGCCGGATCATCATTTCTGTAAATAAGTTCCAAAGGGTTGCTGTTTAGCAAGTTTTCGATTTCCTTTCCAGCTATGTTTGTTTCCTTGTAGCCTCATCTGGTGGAATGGGCGTTGAAGTCTCACCTTGTAGCCTCATCTGGTGGAATGGGCGTTGAAGTCTCCTAATATTGCAGTTTTGAGTGAGATGTTCAGAAAGTCAAAGTTGGGACAATTCTGGGATAGATTATAGATTAAATATATATCTTGATGTGGTTTTGAAATTTATTCTGATTATTTCGCATACGTCTTGCATCGATCCTATACTCTTGATTAGATCGTAATGTGAAGTGAGGCCTTCTTTTACTCCAGTCAGATTTCCACTTGCAACTTGCCGGTATTTAGGTAGAAGATACAGGGAGTAACCTGAGAATTGGTAGTATTTCAATATGTCATTCGAAAGGTTTGCTTTCATAATTGTGAAAATGTCTACATCATAGATTTGTAGGATTTTCTGTACTTGGATCTTTTTGTCTTGTGACATCCCTCCAGCATTCCACTGGAGGTTCTGTAGACGTTGTGATTCGCCCCGACGAGGGTGATTTCTCTTATAGCTTCGATTTCAAGCCAATCATAATGAATAGAAGTCAAAATGAATTTTTGCCGTATGAAGATACGCTGTCCAGTGGGCAACACTTGAAGGTAGGTCTATCGCTTATGTCTCGTTATGTTTAATGCTTTACATAAATCTCTCAAGGTTCTTCAGCATTTAAATTAAATTTTTAACTATTTTAAGGACTATTAACATTTTAATCATTGATTGTTCATTAACTGAGAGGTCTCGTGCTACCAAAAACAATCAGCAATACGTCGTACTTGTTTGTACTCCCCCCCCCCCTCCTCCCACCCACCAAAAGTGGATTTATTGTGTCCCACTGCTGAGTAGAAAGAGAAGAGTTCAGAATAGACACCTGCACCAAAGTTCACATGGTTTTTATGTATGATCCATCAGTGAAGACTTGGAGCCATTGATCTGCAGGATAGTTGACATTGATTGTCTCAAGGGCCAGTGAGCGCATTTATTCTGGAGAGGTGTTTGCTTTCCTAAAGTGGTTAAGCAGTTGGGTGCAACACACTACATCAGAGTCTGCTAATGGGTTCATGGAGAGAGAGAGGCTTTTTGGTTTGTCATCGATTTGTAATTCTTTTTCCAGTTCTATGGCTTTCTGTATTAGACCAGATTGCGTTTACAGATGTCTTGGTCTATTCTCATAGGTGCTGAAGAACTTATCCATTACCAGAGTTCATGTGATCCATCATAAAAGCCAATGTGGCATCATATTTACTGCGTAGGCGGCATCGATGCTCACTCTAACTACCTCCACTTTTTTCTCATTGCCATCAGTCTACAATATTGACCTCAGTCATCGTTTCCCCCCTCCCACGTACTTTGTTTTTAGCAAGTTGGTCTTGAGGATTCTTTTGTGACTGGTTTAGAATAAAATGGATTACCTTTAGCCTAAAAGGTAAAAACGAAAACAAAAAATTTGTCATGGTTAAAAACATTTTTCTTAACTGTTTACAAGTTTACACAACTGTTAAAGTACTTTAATATTAGGGATCCTGGGGTGTGCGATAGACTTACCTCCACGTGGTGCATCCTGACAAGGGGTGTGCGATAGACTTACCTCCACGTGGTGCATCCTGGCCAACGTATACTCATACGGCAATAATGTCTATAAACCGGTAGTTGACTTCTGACCTCAAACTACAATTGCTCCACTGTATGTCATATTCCACCACTTCTGCAGTACTCATCTCTCTTTTTTCTCTGCCTTTTTGGCTGTCTGCCTGTCTCTTTTACATCTTTGAATCTCTCTTCTTCTCTCCCTCTCCACTTTTTCTCACTTTGATTTTCCTCCCCTCTATGATGCTCGAAGTCAGCTTATGGGCTAATGATCACAATCAAAACGCCTGCCACTTGATATAAATCAATATTTGAGCTAATCAGACATTCCTTCATTAACCCTAGGGCTTATGAGTACATAGATTTGTATTTGTGTTTTAAAATTAATATGTATAATTGATTAAATATCCTTATCATATATCATGACGATATTTCTTGCAATGGATTCAACCGTTAATCAAATTCAGAATCAATTGTTGATTCGTTGAATGTTCTTGCAAAAGTTCAGATGTAGTTGAGTTGCATCTAAGAGCACACAAAAAATGGAATCAATACAATACTCCACCATAAGAACTGATAAGTTGATATTCAGATAGTTAACTTAAACGATCCAAATACGGCTTTCTGAACTGAAGAGGTCAGGAAAGTGCAACTCACAAAACATGTTAGATGT